TATTTATTAATTGTTTATTTTGTTCCACAATTTGGTTCCATCAAGTAAGTGCTTTATAAAAATCATTGTAATTTTCAAGAAGCCGTTAGACATCGTTGGCTCCGCATAGAAGTTTATCTCCATGGAGATGAAAGACTTTTACTTTATTGATTTTAGTATAATATATTAATCATTTACTTATATTTTATTTAAAATATTAATTTAACATGAAATGCACCGATTTTTTTTTTTCATGTAGAAGTATTTTTTATGAGATGCGGTCATTGACATGTTGATTAAGGATGCATGAAAGAGTTTGGTACGTAGTTGGTACGATGATATGCTAAAAAAAATTGAAGAAAAAAATGACGGACCCATATATGTTAAATAACGAGTGTGGGAAGTGTGGCACAAGATTGGGCTACACCCGAGTTTCGAGTCTAATTTCAACAGTGTGGGGAAGTATGGCACGAGATTGGGCTACACCCGAGTTTCGAGTCTAATCTCGCAGGTGTCCTAGAACCGCATGTCGAAGACGAACGTTGTTGGTGCCGGCACATCCGGGCATACGAGGGTCCATCTCTTTAATTGATCATACCGAACGTTTGGTAAATCCTATTATCCATGGTGTTATAAATTATTTTTTTTATTTATTACATCTCATATCATTTTGTCTATTTTTTTCAACATAGTAAATTAAATCATAATCCAAATCCTTACGAGTTGTTCGTGACCACCGACAAACGAAAAGATTGATCATTCATTGACGTACAATCCCAAACAATAATGATAGGTTTTTTATTTTTATAAATATACATCTATCAATATAATATAAATAATATATTTATGATTTAATATTATAATTATTTTAATGACGTAGGAGCATGTGTAACCAATACAAGAAGCATCTCGTTATAGACCAGCGAGAGGGTGATTCATCATCTCCAAACATCGACATGTACAAGATATATTTGGATGCCGTAAGTTGGGAGAAGAAGCGAGAAAGTATACGACATTGGATTACATGCATCCAAACATGACTCTTATTCTAGCACCAGCTCCTCCTTTGTGGTATCCTAGCGGAGATGTCAATGTGCCGACACCATCATAATCTGGGGCGCTACTAGTAGGGATATCGATGTACCAATGCCACTATCAAGTCCATGGTCTCGAAACTTGCATTAGTAGTGTCCAATTCATGTATAATGCCATTATCAATGGTATGGTCATGGACATTGCCGATATCGTTGCCACAACCATGGAGATTATCGCCATTAGAGTCTTGACCACCGATATCGTTACCAAATCTATCAAATTCATGAGGCGTAACTCTAGAATAACACCGTAAATAGTTTAACAAAAACAAAAAATAAATAACAATACTATTGAAAATATATTATAAATTGTTTTCATAAAAAACAAAAAACAAAAATTGAAACCTAATTAAATTAATCTAATCTAATTAATTAAACTTAAATCAAATTAACCTAATTAATTCTAATTCAAACCTCATTAATTTAAAACTAATTCAAACCTAGTTAAACTTAACTAACAATTAATTAATAATTTCCCATACAAATAAAATTAAATATCAACCAATAAATCAAAATAAACCTAATTAATTTTAAACCTAAATCTAATTAAATTTAACTAATAATTAATTATCAATTTCTAATACAAATAAAATTATGAATCAACTAATTAATCAAATTTAACGTAATTAATCAATTTAACCTAAATCAATTTAACCTAATTAATTAATCCAAACCTAATCAAAATTAAACTTAAATCAAGTTAACTCTAAATCAAATCTAATTAAATTTAACTAATAATTAATTAATAATTTCTAATATAAATAAAACTAAAAATAGACCAATTAATCAAATTTAAAATAATTAAATAATTAAGCCTAAATCAAATTAACTTAATTAGTTCTAACTCAAACCTAATTAATTTAAACCTAATTCAAACCTAATTAAATTTAACTAACAATTTATTAATAATTTCCAATGTAAATAAAATTAAAAATCAACCAATTAATCAAATTTAATCTCATTAATTAATTAAACCTAAATCAAATTGATACCAATTCAAACCTAATTAAATTTAACTAAGAATTAATTAACAATTTTTAATATAAATAAAATTAAAAATCAACCAATTAACCTTTTTAATTAATTAAACCGAATCAAGCTAATAATTAATTAAAAAATTAACCTAAAAATTAATAAAAAATAACGAGTTTAAAAAATTAATCAAAAAATTAAAAATTAAAAGTATAAAAAATTAATCAAAATTAAGAAATTAACCTAACAATTAACAAAAAATAACAATTTAACAAATTAATCAATAAATTAATAATTAATCAAATTTAACCTAATTAATTAATTAATTAAAACTAAATCAAAGCAATCGATTAATCAAAATTAACCTAATTAATTAATTAAACTTAAATCAAAATGATAATTAATTAACAATTAATCTAACAATTAGCAAAAAATAACAATTTGAGAAATTAATCAACAAATTTGCATTTAATCAAATTTAATCAAATTAATTAATTAAACCTAAATCAAATCAAATAGTTAATCAAAATTAACCTAATTAATTGATTAAACCTAAATCAAATTAACAATTAATTAAAAAAGTAACCTAATAATTAATAAAAAATAATAATTTAACAAATTAATCAATAAATTAACACTTAAAACTATACAAAATTATAAATTTACCAATTAAATTTAAAATTAACCTAATAATTATGAAAATAACTAATTTTTAAGGAGAGAGAGAGAGAGAGAGAGAGAGAGAGTTTTCCTAATTCATATTTGAAGAGATGGAGAGGAAGGAAGGAAAAATAGAGGGTTTTTTTTAAGAAGAAAAGAGTTTAGAGTGGATGTGAATTGATAGTGAGTGGAGGAGTGTAGTTTTTCATTGGTTTTGGGTAGGGAAAGAGTCGATGGCTGGAGAGAAGAAGTTGGAACAAGAAGAAAATGGGAGAAGAAGAAGAGAAATCAAGGTTTAATTAGGGATTTAGACAAGTGATGGACGCGATCCCATTGTCTGGTCTATTCCTATTTAGTGACGGATGTAAGTTCCTACCATTAATCCTTCATAAAATGGGCTGTTATTTAATTCTAGAAAGCCACCTATTTTTTACAACTAGCGTTGAAAACATTTCCATCGCTAATTAGTCTTTATTTAATGACAAAAATTAAGTATTCATTGCTATTCCATTGTCAAATGGATAGTTTTTTTTTTCATTTCAAAAGGCCGCCCATTTTTTAGATTTAGCGATAGATTTAACACTTCAACGGTGCATATTTCGTCGCTAAAGCAAAATATAAAAAAATAATGATGGAATAGTAACTCATTTTTTATTTCTATAGCAATTCCGTCATTAATCTGTCTCTAAAACACATAAGAACATTTTGGCACTATAAATAATAATGAAATATCATCTCAGTAATCGATAAATCATTGTCAAATTGTGTCTATTCCGTCGCTAAATCAAATAGATGCACTATTTAGCAATGGATTGTAATCCGTCGTTAAAATCTATCGCTATTTTTTTAATTTTCTTAGAGTGGAATAAGTATCAATAAGCTTATCACTCAACTATATTCTCTTCCCAAGCAGAGGCCTCACTTTGAACTCCTCATTTGTAACAAAAGAAAAAAGTATACAATTTAAATGTGTTATATAAATTCACGCCGTCATTAATTCAGGGCCAATATATGCTGGCAAGTGTTTATTATTTTTAATTTGTCAAAAAACCTCAATTTACTTCCTAACATTATTAGTGTCTTCTTTCTCCCAAGAGGTTTAGAATTTGAACCTCTCTTTTGTAATAATAATTAAAAAATATATATATATATATATATATATATATAGCTCATCAACAATTGAGTTCAATTTGAAATTTTTGACTTTATGTTAATGAACACTGGGCAATGTCACTCCATCTGTCCAATATCAGTGATAATTAAAAGATTTCATTCAATTTACACACAATTTTTTGAAGTGTTTTCGTTCAATGTGCGAAAATAAGGTTTAATCTATGATAAAGAACGATTTTAATATGAAATTATAGTAAATATTTTGTACTTTTCCTTTTATACAAGTTAGTGAAGTAGTGCAAAATTTAGTGTATGACTTGATGCTAAAATTGTCCTTAAGGATAGACCAAGACTTATTTTAATGCTTTGAATGGAAGAAGTTATAAATGAACATGTGCAATTAAGTTGGATGAAATTTTTAACTGTCATTTGACAGCAAATGGATGGAGGGATATTGAGATTGTTCAATATCAATTACCTTGGAGTAAAACGTGATAAAATCAAAAGTTTTAATATCAACAAATGAATTTTTAACCGTCACATTAACTGCATAGAGTGTATCCTTTAGGGATTATTTTTTATTTTTTGTGTGTGGTTGCGCAATGCTCTCTGTGTTTAATTCCGTCTCTGTACGTATTGAATAACAGTGATCCCTATGATTAGTAAATGCACTATTTGCTCTCAATCCACATCTTATACCTTGTCCTTTCACTTTATAACGAGGCCATATCATTGGTTCAATCCCACCATAACCACAATACACTACGAGTGAGTTAGTGCATAGCTAGGCGTAGAGAGAGAGAGAGAGAAAGAGAGAGACGGCAGGCAAATTGGAAATCCGGCGATAATCTAGGGCCTAGCTACTTCTTTGTAGTCGCAGCATGTGAGGCCCCATATGTGTGGATTTTGTACCTCAATCATTTCTAATTTCACAGCTTTGTTTAATTAGCTAGCTAGTTTTAATAACACTGACAATAGCAACTAAACGGCTAGCTTTTCTATCCTTGAAAGGCTACAAACATAACCTCCATCCTTCACAGCCTACCTCTATATATTTTTGAACTCTATCTAGCCTCGCCTTTCACAATCACATCCACAATTACCATCACAAACATAAGATTGAGTCAATTTCTCTCTATTGCTAGCTAGCTAGCACACGCACCAATTCATCCAAAATTATAAATGGCGAAAGGAGACCATGTTGTTGTGTCTAATATGAAGCTTGAGAAGTTGCTTTGCATGAAAGGAGGCAAAGGAGAGGGCAGCTATGCTAATAACTCTCAAGCGCAGGTCACCGATTACATATTTCATCCTTTAATTTCGTTCTCATAATTAATTTTATCATCTTAATTGGATCCCTCGTTTTCTTTAATATCTTTTGCAGAAACAAAAAGTTATATATATATTTGTTGAGATTAGTTAAAATATATAAATATATGTGTGCAATGTATAATTGTTTTGCTGTGGACAATATGTATATAATTAATATACAGAGGAACAACTGATTTATATATAGGCTGTTCAATTCTTTTAGGAGTTTTGGTAGTTTGTATCAACAAACTATTAATTAGGATTTCAATTTTACCAAACTCTTCATTTATAAATGATTTTTAAACTCTTAAGTATCCATGCAGGCCTTACATGCTCGATCCATGCTTCACCTTCTGGAAGAAACCCTAGATAAAGTGCACCTAAACTCCCCAGAATTTCCTTTCCAGGTGGCGGACTTAGGATGCTCATCTGGCAACAACACAATCCACATCGTTGATGTCATCATCAAGCATATGACCAAGCGATACGAGTCATCCGGCCTCGATTCGCCGGAGTTCTCTGTTTTTTTCGCCGATCTCCCTAGCAATGACTTTAACACCCTTTTCCAACTCCTCCCTCCCCTAGCCGATTATGGGGTAAGTATGGAAGAGTGCCTAGCTGCTAGTGGCCATCGAAATTATTTTGCAGCTGGAGTTCCCGGCTCCTTTTACCGGAGGCTTTTTCCGGCAAGATCTATTGACGTGTTCCACTCAGCATTTTCCTTGCACTGGCTATCTCAGGTTTTCTTTTCCTTTTGTTTTTTTTTTCGCCTTTAATTTGTTTTTGCATGTTTAGTCAAGGGGTAGCATCAAACATTTTTAAATAAATATTGATCAGGAAGTACCGATGACTTTATAACAATAGTTTGATTATGTTTTTGTAATGTTAATATCGATGGTATAGACAAAATAATATTCATTATAGTTTTTCTCATCCAATATATATACATGCATAATTATAATTAAGTAATTAAGAATCTATTAATTAATGGTCTATATATATATATATATATATTGTTTTGTCGGTTTTTAGATGGTCAAAAAGTCACGAGTCCATGGTTATTATGATCCGAACAAGGGTTTGAAGGAAAGTGTATGAAATTTTGGATGTGTACCTAATTCTAGGCATGGGTGGAATTATTTGATTTTCAAAGTATCTTTTTGAAGGTGTGTCGGGTGGATGAATGCATGTGTTTGACAGAGACAGAAAATTTTGGAGAGAAGTACTCTTGGACTTTAAGATTTGATCACAATAAATTAATATTTTGGATCATAAATTTTATTATCATGAAGTTTAAGTAATTACTAGCTAGCTGGATGGACGTTAGTACGTATATATTAATTAACATATATAGGCTAGCTCATCATAATTAACATCATTAAGTATTTATTAAAACTAGCTTAATTAGATTAATTAATTCAAAATGATATAGAGCTAGCCATTGAATAATTTAATTTCCATATGCAATTAATTAAATTAAGAACCCATGCACGGAACAAACTTGGACTAGTTAATTACTTCATTAGTACCTGACAACCGATCGATGATCAAAAAGTGAGTAATATATCTAGGTTAAATTATTAAGGGGTTCTAAAAGCATGCATGCAAGTAAATCAAATTGTAACTTAAACAATTAATTACTCAAAGTGCATGGTTTAATTTTTATCATGATCAATAACTTTGCAGATTCCAGAGAGTGTTTTAGACAAGAGATCGGCAGCATATAACAAAGGGAGGGTGTTTATCCACGGTGCTACCGAGTCCACAGCAAACGCATACAGGAAACAGTTCCAAACAGACCTAGCCGGCTTCTTAAGTGCAAGATCTCAAGAAATGAAGAGAGGTGGGTCCATGTTTCTGGTCTGCCTGGGAAGAACTTCTGTGGAGCCCACAGACCAAGGTGGGGCTGGCCTCCTCTTTGCGACCCACTTTCAGGATGCTTGGGATGATCTTGTCCAAGAGGTAATCATCGTCTCACCAAAAAAAAAAAAAAAAAAAAAGTTCTGCTAATTTTCATGTTTGTGTGTGTCTGTGTGTTGGAACAGTCTTTATCCATTTTGCCTTGGCCAGACCAAAAAGCAAGAAAACACCATGCAGCAGGTGGTATGATTGAATGCAGAGCTTATAAGACCTTATTATGAAATGTCACTGGTCATTATTAGTCCTATTAAAATCCAACCGTTGAATGCAATAGTATCTAGCCATCCATTTGTTGATCTCCATGTCGGCAGTATGATAACTGTTCGCAAATGGGCAGGCCATATCATTGACCATGGTAGATTTAATACAAGTGCTGACTTGGTGTAGCACAACACAATCATAATATACTTTCTTATCTAGACAAGAAACTCATTTTTGTATCCATTACATCATTGTATGTTATATCAGAAAATGATGAATTGTGGGGCTCAATACCAATTAAGTTTGAGTACATTACGTATGATATCATGTCACTTAATCAAATACTCTAATCACAATGCTACGTACTCTCTCTCTCTCTCCCTCTATTATAATAATTATGTAATTCATGGCTTTTGAGCCTATGAATATCGTCTAGCTAGCTTGTGCCAAATACGAAGGGTTGTTCACCGCCATTTTTACTGATTGGACCTTTGATTGTCATCAATATCTATGTTTTAACCGAGTGTTGGCTATTTTTTTGGTCCATTAGGTAGCTGCTATTTATCGGCCTCTTTTACTATTGAATCTAATCGGGCCGAAAGCGAAAAGCTCATTTCCTATATATATATATATTGGAGAAACCTAGCTAGCTTTAGTTATACAGTTCTTGAAGGGTTATGGGACACCATGTAACTAATGAATAGTGTGCTGCTAATTAATCACAGGGTCTGATTGCTAGTGAGAAGCGAGACAATTTTAACATTCCCGTGTATGCACCAAGTCTACAAGACTTCAAGGAGGTAGTAGAAGCCAATGGCTCCTTCGCGATAGACAAGCTCGAGGTTTTCAAAGGAGGGAGCCCTCTGGTGGTTAACCACCCTGACAATGCAGCTGAGGTCAGCCGAGCCATGGCTAATTCCTGCCGGAGTGTGGCTGGGGTCCTTGTTGATGCCCACATTGGTGATGAGCTAAGTGAGGAGTTATTTTCACGGGTGGAGCTCCGAGCCAAGAGCCATGCAAAAGAGCTACTGGAGAAGCTACAATTCTTTCATATAGTTGCATCTCTTTCTTTTGCTTAAGAACATAATCAAAGGCAAGAAAAAGAGGCATTCGGAGAAAGAAAGGGGAGCTACTAGCAAAGGGTCTACAATTTCTTCCTCGTCACTTTTCCATATTTTCTCCTCTTTTATGTGCATGCCTTTGTCATTGTATATCAAAGATATATATATATATATCTTTTCTTTATATCAAAGATATATACATCTTTGTCCAACCCAGAAAAAAGGAGAAGACTTTGTGTTCACTTTCTTTTATCCTCTATTTGTGTGCTTTTGTTTGTGATTACTGACTATAGTTACTTCATATATAGTTGATGGGTGTCCTGACTATGTGTTCCCTTGAATCCAAACTAGCTACCTATGGTCAATAAAGCTTGTAAACGGGCTTCCTTTATAGACCTTTATTAATGTTGACTTATGTGAACTTGTATGAACGAAAGGCTTGCTTTTTGTACCAAACGACTTTTTAATTCAACTCGGATCGACTTTATTCACTTTCCTTTTTTCCCCCTTCAAGTTCTTCTCTTTCTTTTGAATTGTGGGAGTTTGTGGTGGGGGGCACTGGTAGTTATTTCAGTTAAAACTCAGAAAGCCCTTAATTTGTTTTCAAAAGCAAATCTTAGACCACTAGGGAGGAATATATTATGAAAATCCTTTCAAAGTTTGCTAATAGTGCGAGTAATTAAATTTTTCCAATGAAATGATGAACCTTGACCATTACTACCTAGTTATCAACCTCTGTTGTCTCCGATCAACTCTCTTGAAAATTAATTGTTTATCAGAACTGCTTGCTACATATCATTATTCAAAAATCTACAGAGTCAATTGTATCAATATCATTTCCCACTCATTTTTTACATATATTATAAATATTTTTGAAGAGATATAATTAATTACTATTGCCTTCAATGAAATCATGTACATATCCAAAGTGCCAGCTGCACACAAAAGCAAGGGTACTATAATGAGCCAAACCGTCAATATGCTTGGTAGATTGTAGCTTATTAATTCGACAAATAAGCTTTTATTACAAATTTTATGTTTAGCAGATACCATTCGGTAATTTTAGAGTCTTCGGTCAATTCAGTCAACAAATTTAAAATAGGTGGTTCAAGATGGCGGTGTCGATGTCAAGTGATTGCATAACGTTATAGAAGATTCTTTTATGCAGTGTACATCCAAAACAAGTTCTTTTAGTTTGATAACAGACTTTCCAATGCTCATATTAATAGTCGAAAGGTGGGAAATTAGAATGAGAAGGCTCTTTTATGCTACTGTATACTCGATGATGTGTAATTTAACAGAAAAAAGAAGTTGTACATGATATAGAAACTGTGGTGAGTGTTTGCAGAACTTTTTTTGAAGTTCTTTATATATGTATTCCTTCTAACTCATTTTCTCTTATGATTCTTGCTTTCATATAGACAACAGTGGGAGCCTCTTGCATGGGGTAGAGATCAATATTGTTCTTTTCTTTTAGGATTGGTGGACGAGTTGACAAGTGTTGATGTTTTACCATCATTATATTTGATTCTGTAGCACTATTAGTTTAATCAATATGATTGGTGATTTGATTGATGTTATCATTAGAGATTTTTTTTATTAAATGCTTTGTCGAGTGATATTGAATAAGTGTAGCATCTTTCTCTTTTAGGTCGAAGCACCTTGAGGTAAAAGAATTCTAAAATTTTTTTTGAAAGGCGTCCCTTTTTAGGAGGAGCTAGTCCGTCCTAGTGACCTATGGACTTTGATTGGCCCGGATGGATTTTAGAGTTAAGGACTCATGGGCCCTTCATATTGGGTTGTTTTGGAAAAAGGCTCCTCATCATCGGTCTCTCCCTAAGTCCGGCTAGCGTGTTTAACCTAGACTTGAAAACTATTTGAATAGGGTATTTCAAGAGGCATTTTTTTGGTCGAAGGAGACTGTTTGTATTCTTTTTATTGACTTGGTTTGGCCTTGGTTAGCCGGCAGTCTTTTCTTTTCGGGTCTTGACGCCTCGAATTCGATAGCTTCGAGTGAGGAAAAAGCAAGCATTCGCATGCTTGGTGCCTCTATTGTCGCAAATGATCGTTTTTTTTAATATATTTTTTATAAAAATAATGATTACCCTTATTAAGAGTATGCACGTCGAATATTTCACCTTATGTGGTGTTGTCACGTTAATGTGAGGCTATCTCTTGGAATTGGTGTGTTCTAATTAGAGAAAAAGCCCTTTTTTTTTCCTATATATACACCTTATTGCTAGAGTCTCTCTTTGCTTTTGTGTGCTTCAAACTTCACTATAGGAGACCTTTGGTGCACCATTTTACTTTTCTAGGAAAAATTCTTTACTTTTCTCTCTTCATCTTTTTGTACCTTTTTTCAAGAAGATTTCTCCTCGGTGAAGTGTTTCTTTATTTTACATCTACACTCGTGAGATAATGTTTACTTGTTTCTTTTCCTTTTTCTTATAATTAAATAGGAAGATGAATGACTTGGAGTCTAGAGATGTACCTAGTGAAGCTCGTGAGAGGAGGCACCAGCTTTGGTATTGGTGAGTCTTTCTTTTCTCAAGGCGAGTCTCTTTTCATTATAAAAGAAGGGGCCCAAGTTATGTGTTTATAAGAGACTAGTCATTGATGTTTCTTTGTCGAGGGATGATTTCTTTTAATTATGGCCAACCTTAGAGATACGACGAATAGACCCACTTTTAGCATGGTTGAGAGGAACCCGAACATTGATGTCCCTAAGTGTATCTTAGAATATGGCTTTACATTTCCTTTATTTGGCTTTGTAGTAGAGGTGTTTGGCCATTTTTGCTTGAATGTGACTCGGATTCTCCCGAAAGGATGGACTATTTTGGTTTTTTTTTTACCACTTTTGTCAAAGTCTTAGGGTGACTCCAACTCTTAGGTTTTTTAGACTTTCTCATCATTTGACTTATGAAGATGGTGAGATTAGAAGGAACACTTAGGTTTATACTTTTATAGCCTACAAGCATATTAAAAGGTGTGTGCGTGAAACTCTTGATCCAATGGGAGATTAGAGGGAGGAGTGGTTCATTGTTCGATATCAAGGGGTGACTCCCTAAGTTAGTGGTTCAAGCATTGAGTGCGTCCTTTTATAGAGGTCACTATGGATGAACCATGATACTTTTTCTTTTTTAGTCAAGTACTAAGTTGGCCATTTGAAACTTTGTGAAGAGTAAGGGAAAAAAGCAAAGGATTGACATGTTAGCTAGGAGGTTTCCTTGATTTATAGTTCATTAGGTAGACAACTCGGATTTTAATTTGATTTTTTTTGTTTTTTATGCCTTTAATTTTTAGTGTCTAATATTCTTTATTATTTGTAGTAGACCTGCTACCCAAAGAAAGCAAGGATCCTAGTTGGTTTGTTATGGAACCTTCTCTTCCTCACGTGAAGGAGAATGTTGTTGAGGATAGGGATCCATCCTCGCTATCGATCCTTGTTTCTAAGATAAAGCCTATTGTTGAGGAGAAGTTACTTGTCAAGGATGCGGACAAATGATTGGCTAAGAGGCATAAGATAGCCTTTGGTGCTAAATGGTAAGGAATTTCTCTACATGTCTCTTGAGAAGGTCGGCCCTTTTACTACTAAGGCGCTTATTCCTCTAGTCGTGATTTTAGAGAATGATGCATATTCTAGGCCATAGAGGCCCTCGAAGAGGTACCTCTATTTCTATTCCTCGTTATAAAAATGAGGTTTATGGATTTCATATAGTTGTAGTATCCTCTTCCCCTACTTAATGTTTGAGGGAGAAAGTCATTTGGACTTCTATTCTTAAGTTAACTTAGGCTTCTTATGGTGTCCTTTTGATTTCTTTCTCTATAAAGTAGCTTTGTTTATGGTGGTAACTTTTTAGTGATGTTATTTCCTAAATAAAGAAAAAGACAAAAACTTTTCCAATATTTTTAGGGAGATCTCGCTTACTTTTAGTTGATGTTAGACCATAGGTTGATGGCTCTTTTTCCAAAAACAAATTTATCACCATCGTCAATAATAATGGTATAATAAAAGTGATGGCGGTGATTAAAGAAAAATGATGATGAATAATAATAATCATAATCATAATAATAATAATAATAACTATTTTTTTTCAAATTTTTTTTTACTATCATCATCAATGGAGAAGGTGGTTATGGTGGTAGAAGGAATGATAATAAATATTATTATAATGATAATTTATCGCCATCGCTAATCGAGGTGGTGGTAGAAATAATTAATACACAATAACTATAAATAATATATCATTATTTTGAAGAAAAAAATTATTCTCATTCTTTGTTTTTATTCTTACTTTTTACATGAGAAAAAATTATGCTTAATTTTTATTTTCATCTTCATTCTACATTCTCATTTCACTTTATTCATTTCAACTAAACAGTTATAAGGTGGGAATAAAACTTTTATTCTCATTCCCACCACTTCATTCCTAGTAATCAAACAACACCGTAGAGTATGATAGTTTCTTTGGAAAATTATCTAGTATGTTCTTATGTAATGTGGTCATTGTCCAATCTGTTCTTGTAACACCCCGACCTATAACCTAAAGTAGATCGAGAATGCTATCATCAATGCCTCACATTCGAAATGCAATAAATGCAAGATATTAAACCTCGTATCCTTTACCTCTAATATACATTGAAATTAAATTTAGGTCCATCCTCTCATTTATCATATTAAAAATAGAAAAAAATTCATAATCTATCATACCAATTTATTTAATAGCGACAATAATCATAACTAGAAATCATTTCATTTATTCATGAAAACACATTTATTTGGAGGACATTAAATCAAAATATATTTGTACAAAATATGTTCAAATATCTTAAAATAGTTTCTAGTTTAAAACATAATAAATTGCCACTTTAATTTTCATTAAATATATCCATAAGATTAAATCAACTTCATTTAATATAAATATAATTTCAAATAATTACATTAATTATTAAACAAACAATTTTAAACACTATTAAATAATAAACCATTTCATTAAATCATAAATTTCTCAAAACAC